TTCTCTCGACTTCCGAAACCGATTTCCAATACCCAGGAAGTAGTAAGGCGCGCGTCACGTGGTACTATAGCTGGTAGTAACTTGACAAACATACAGCGGCCCTTGTAATAGTTTTTTCATTATTAAAGCTACTTGGTCGTGATCCTGAAAGAGTGCATAAGAATTGTACCAATTGTGCTTCGTCGTGACAGGCATTCCTCATCCTAATCGTGGTGATAGGTTGAAGCATCGTGGTGGAAAAACTAGTCATTCTAGGCACTGAGTTACCACATCTAGCTGATATCGATGTGCGCCAGGAGGCTCTTTATATGCACGCATAAAGGAAAGAGAGAAACTGTAGGTATACATTTAGAATTGTAAAGAAAAATAGTACAGAAAAGAATAATTTGTTTCACTTAAACGATGTCACAATTACGGCTTTCATAATAATAAAATACAAGTCTCGACAATTTTTCGGCATTTTCGAGACATCAACAACAACAATATCGAGACTTTTGAGATTAAAGTAAAAATCTACTGGACATGCAATATTTTTTCTATTCTGGTTACATGGATATGGCAATACTTTAGAGCGGAGCTTGTGGAGATTGAAGAACGGTTGTGATAAAAGAAGTATCTGTAACTTTAAACGGCGTTTGTTCTTTACGTAACAACAATGAAAATGAAAAAAAATAATTTTCATTAAATAATTTTTGATTTTATAATCTGAGTTAATAAATAACTTAATTAAGATAACCCGTTTTGGCAGCCAATGCTTAGCCTATAAGTATGAAAAACTATTTTTGAAGTAGTCTCGAAAGTCTCGTTTTTTCGGGATTTTCGAGACCACACTAATTAAAAGCCTTAGACACAATATAATCGTCGCTTGTTTGTTTTTTATAATACCAAGACGGGACGAAAAAGTCGTGCACCTGGTGTTGTAAAGCGACACCCCTGCCCTTGGCAGTTGCAGCGCCTCTCAGAGCTTTACTTGGTAAAGGTATGAGTGTCACTACAAGTGCGCCTATCACCCTGGGACACAAGTTGACAATTCTCATGTGCCTGTAATTTCACCACGGATTAAATTCCTCCAGACTAGTCTGTAAGATTCGTTACTCAAAAGGTGTTTCAGTCGAGTATTAAACATTTCGTCCCTTTCTAACACTTTTCAGATTTGCGGGTAAGTAGGCAGGAAGGGCGGAGGCGCTCGTTGAATCGGGGACCGATTACTCGTTGTCGGTTTGGTGCGGTCGGCATCAGATTTAGTTTTAGTTCGACCTCCGCCTGTACATCGGTAGTAAATATTTAAGTTTTTGACGCGTGTAAACGATTATGTCATAAATAAACATAGCAAAAGTATTGGTTGTGCGCAATTTGTTCCATATCATCCAATCCCGAAGACAGTAGTACCGCTTGGTGGTAGAAATATGTAGTGGTATTTATCAAAGCAAGCTCAGCTGAAATTCATATATTTGCAAGAGAAACCAATTTACTGGCGAAACTAAACGACGATTTATTCGTTATTTCTTAAATTTTATCTACAAATTGAATCGCCATAGTGAGAATCAGTCAATTGTACCTAATTCTTGTAGGCGTTGAGTTCAATTTGGAATAATCGAATTATTTTGATATAAATCTCGGTAGTAACGATGGCTTTCGGGGTAAAAACTCCGGATTTCGAAATTACGCCGTCAATTGCTACAAAATAAGAAATAAAGTGTTTCGTTTATGTCTATTTGGACGATATTATTTTATATCTATACCAGCGTACATACGCCCCACTGCTGGGCATGTATATGCTGTAAAAAGTACGTTTAGGCCATTGATTACCACGGAGAACCATTGCAGCATGCCTAAGAAGACGTTATAATTTGTGGTAATATCATTTAAACATAATGTTGTAGTAGCAGTAGAGCTCCTTGAAGGGTAAGGTGCTGGTGAAATTACAGGCAAATGGCACTTGTCAACTTATGTCTCTGGGTGACGGGTGCAGTGGCAGTGTCCCTCCGATCTTTGCAATTTAAAGCTCTGAGTGGCACTCCAACTATTGTGGATAGGCATGTCGCTTACTATCAGTCGCACGACTTGTTCATCTCATCACTTGTTATTATAAAAAAAAACTTTTGTATAAAAGCTAAAAAAGATCTGAATTTCATTCCAAGCATTTCAAAGTCAGGTTTCAAAACTTTTGACATCCCACTTTTGTAGCGCCATACTAAATCAGTCCATGATACCTAGTACTAGATTTCCCGTAACCCAGTGATGTCAGTTATCTCGTCTGTATTAACGAATGACGTGACGCCACAACATAATCATCCGATCGGCGCCCGCGCATGATCGAAATAGAACCACATTACCGGACATGGATCTGGCGAGTTGAATTTTGACTTCGCCATTTCAAAGACGAATAAATTAACTAAGAATTGTGAAACTGTGATGTGTAAAAGACTGGGGGATCTTAAGCTACGTGGACCAGAGGCAAATAGCAGTAGAGTAGAATTTAAGTAGCAGTAGAGCTCCTTGTGAACGAGTTCGTTCAGGGAAGTGCGGTCACCTCACCTATTTCTGCCGCCAAGCATTGATGTTAGCATTGCTGTGTTCTGGAATTGAAGGTTAAAGTTCTGGTGAAATTGCACATGGGACTTGTCAACCCATGCCTCAGGGTGACATGCGCAGTGTCCCTCAGAACTTTGCGGCTTAAAGCTCTGACTGGCATTGCAACTGCTATGGACAGGCGTGTCGCTTAACACAAAGATTCTTTTACGACGTAAGGCATCATTTTCAGCGAACTATTCTAGAATAGTTACGTAACTCTAGAGTCGCTCGTCGTATATGGAGGTCCATGAGATAGCAACAAAATATATAGACAGGGTGTACCATAATGGCAAACCTTTTAATTGAGGATAGCTCTGAGGTGAAATGCAGTGTTGACTCGTAAAATCCTTTATACAGGCTTCTTGTCTCTTTTCGATACGAGCGAGTTAGTCTATTAATTAAAAATCTTGCCTTCAGGGAAACGGAGTATTAAAGCAGAGAAAATTTCATATTTACGACAGTCCTTATCCTGTATCGCGACTGGTGACCGATAATAGCTTAATAATACAGTTATTTTTTTAGCAAAATATCAAAAAGCACTTAACCACAATCTCACTTGATGGGATCGCGTCTGGAGTTTGCCTAAAAAGTGCCTGTTCACTCACGCCTGGAAAGTCCCTCGCCAAGTTATATTTGTCGGGGAAAAGATTACCGGGCAATGAATTATGTGTAACAAACGTTTGCGTATTCTGAAGCTAATAAAGGTTAAAAACAGCAAAATAATTTCAGATTAACGAAAATGAATTTAACTTTAACTATTGTAGAGTTGGTTCACATGTAAAAGTGGCAAAATTTTAACGGTGCTTAATTTTTTTTTTTCACCAAAATACATTCTCAAAAGTTTCAAGATGACTAATTATAGAAAGGAGGATGGCGACATGCTGTGTATTTTGCGACACCGTGTTTTTGAGGACGTGCATTAAGGAGATCTAGCAATACCCGTGATTCATTATCAAATCGTCAAAAAAGCTAATTGAGTACAGCCTGTAGACGCTGGGGTTTTAAAAGTGATGTAGGTTATATTTATAATATTGTCCTGATTTCGCTTCAGATGTTTGTTCGTAATAGCAGACAACAACAAGTTTTCAGTTTGTTCCCAAAAATAATAAAGAACTTCCCGAATATTCCTAAACTCTGCCACATTTAAATAACTTATCATGTTCTGCAGCAATAAAAATAAATAAAAATTAAATCTGCCCCAAATGGTCACACTGTTCTCAATATCAATGTGCCATTATCATTAGCAAGAGGTCTCTTGTCAAAACGTTCCTTTACAACTTTCATTATCGTTTACTTTTATATTATTATTATTTAAATATTGTCTAAATATTTTTGGCACATTGTTTTATTTTTTGCTTTATGTCATTACTGTTTAAATGGTTATTTCATATTTTATAAAATACTGAATGAAATAATCGTTTAAATATAGCTATAGTTTTAATGTTTTATGTGTGTACTATAAAATAACCAATACTTCAAATAGGCGAACATTCAATCATGCTTAAAATGAAACGTACGTACAAGAACGTTACCTAATCTATGGTCGAACTGAATCGATTGCGTTGTGTTCTTGCATCTATTCTAAAATACAATTTTTTATTTCCGACGTCTAAAACTATACAATAATATATTGATCACTACGCACGAACTAAAACGCAAAATTATTCTAGCAAAGTCCATGAACGGCTCTTCGTCGTTATTGGGGCAGCTTTTGCCGTCCTTTTTTGTAATTAGAAAAATGTTCAACTATAGAAACGTTTAACCAAAAAAAATTCCAAGTATATAAACGTCCAACCATAGGAACGTACAACCAGAGAAATGTCCAATTATAGAAATATATCACCAGAAAAATGTCTAACTGCAAAAACATTTAACTGGAAAAATGTTCAACGACAGAAACGTCTGACTAAAAAATGACCAATTATTGAAATGTTAAAAACGGTCCAAACATGCAAGAAACTGAAAATTGACCTCAATGTATCGTAACTGGTAGAAATATAGTCACGACTAAATACCCTCGTGGTTATAAAAGCGATATATTTACGAGAATTCTCCGTATGTCTAAAATTAATCCTCTGTATGAGAATTAATTTTAATATACTTGCCTTCTAAGAACTTGCATTAGAAATAATTGACGTCATGTGGAGAGAAACTATAGTACGTTTTAATATTGTTAAGGTTGTGCAAAAAGGTTTTAGATAACAGTTTTTGCAGTCAGTATTAACGGAAATTGCCAAACGTTTTGTATTCAGAAAAAAGAAGTTTCTTATTACAAAATAAAATTCAAAATACATAATTTTAACTAGTCACCATCCAAGTAATTATTTTTGATAATGAAAACCAGCGACGTAGAAAACCACACTATTGTTTAAATATTTTTTTCGCATTAAAATCAATAATGCTTACATTTGTTTTTCTGTTCACAGGCCACTCGAACGACAATAATCGACTCAACAATGTGTTGACATAGTGTAGTGAATTAACATAAAAGTGTTACTAATACAACAACATACACAAAACAACAGTGTTACTAAAACAATAGTGCAATACGGTGCATAGTTACGACAGTGTCACTGCAGTGTGACTAGTGCCAGTGTAGTGTGATGGTGTGACAGTGCGTGACTGTTCAAGATGGCGTCTGGGATTTTGACAGCTGTCATTTTGATCTTTGGCTGTCATCTCGCAGCGGCCGGCGCTCCTGCTGACAATAAAGGTATGAAAACGAATAATTTTCACCAATTAGTAATAAATAAGATCGCTAGGTTCAGTTTATCCCGTTAAAGGGATATTCTACGTATGTACGTACTTGTTAAACAGAAGTACGTTTTTTCGAAATATCGAAAGCGGCGTTAAAAGCAATTCACATTGTCCTCGTATCCTTTGATAGACTAATTCCATCACGAGCGAGTCGTCCGCACTTGCCAGCGGGATGCAGATGCGGAAGCAGATGCGGGTAGCGTATAGCAGGGAGGTGAAAAACGTAAACAACACAAACGGAATGAAACAAAACTCGAAACCGTCACGTTTCACAAATACTATTTTCGAACAGTTCTAGACTTGCTGACGAAAAACTGCGTTTTTTATTTCAACAATAATAACAATGCATTGTTGTTTCAAATACATCTCTCGTGTAACAAATACCTATTGTACATTAATAGAAAAATATTGATTATATCCTTAATATGGTGGTTTGCATTAATATTAGACATAACATGTTGATCACTATACCACATCAGCCATCAACCATGGTCACCCATGGGACCAGTAAAAGGCCCGCAACGTTGGTTTGTTTACAAAAACAAATATTCGCGATTTATATTCGGAAAAGTACTTTAATTTCCTATGTGTAACAATCACGAAAACCTAAGAACTCGATATATTATCATTCTGTTTTATTGCTGTGTGTTGTAGAGGTGAATTGCTTTTGCAATTTGTATAAAATGGTACATACCGCGTTCGAGCTGCTCGTGTGCATAGTGCCAATCAGTCGTGTCCCGAAACCGTTGTGACGCGGCTTAAAAGCTTGCTAGCATTTTTAGTGCAGGTAGTGTGTTCACCGCACACCGAACACTGCTCTTTGGGACTTGGGAAATCTGCGGAGCTGCTTATTGACTCTACATAATATAATCAATTAGGCAATGATTTTGTACGTCTGATTGGATGGACTGGTTCTATTTCCTTCGGTGAGTGGATTTATAAATATGAAACATGAATTTATTACATTTGTGACATTTTGATTATTATTTCCAAAAATATTATCCATCTCAAATATAACAATATTTTCATTAATTTCGTATAAATAAGTTTTTTCAAAAATACCACACTGTTGAAGTTAAATTTCAACAAGAAAGGATATTTTGCACGCTTGGCATAGTAGCTACATGTGATCATACGTCAATACGTCAATGGGAGCATATTCAATTTAGGCGAGTGAAGAAAAAATATTTTGAAAAGCGAAGATGGAATGCACTCTCTGTCGTGTCAAAACACCGCGTTCCACAGACTAAATGTAGACCAGTATTACTGATTTGAATCGTCTATATCGGTCGGAAACACAAGATCTTAAGTGTTAAATGCTAGTGATAGCTTTCACTCTTCTTTAAATGCCCAGTAACGATTCGTTGTCCTATTACTCTACGCAAGTACACACTCGCACAAAACATCACGCCTGTCGCCCAAAAAACCCCCATTTGTAACATTCCTGATGTACATTTTTCCGTTTCCTCCCCTCGTGTCAGTCTTTTGTTCTGAATACATTTTACTTGGCACTTGGTGCAGTATTATCTGCATTACTCATCTGAATTTTCCAAAACGAATTTAAATAGCTAACTGCCATTGTAACCTTAATCCACTGAAAATACTTCACGTGCATAGAAAATCGTAGTATCAAAGGTCAGTCTGGCTTTGTTAATTAAGTACGGATTTAAATCTTTCTCAAGCCTTCGACTGCAACGTGGAAGAGTTGAAATACTTGGCTGTACTAAAAGTTTACAGGACTTGGAATTCATTCAAATGCAGGCTTATGCTTAAATGTTGGTGTAATTTATTATTTAAACCATTCACACATATATTATCTGTTGGTGAACGATTTTTCTATAAAATCAATATCGTGAATGGGTACGCTTTAGTTTGACATATTTTTGAAAACACCAACCCTTTTTTTTTTTTTTTCACCAACCCTGGCTAATTTTCTTGCATGGTAACGCAGAATACTAGTGCTGCGTACCAATAAACTCGGTTTTACTTCTGTAATCGAGCTTCATGTAAATTATAGCTTTTCTTTAATATTTTCATGTCAATTAGTTTGCCAAGTACTTTCTGTAAAGTAATTTACGTAAACCTGGAATCGCCATGTATTCTAGTGGGTTTAGGTGATAAGAGTTGGGAGCTTCATCTAGATGAATCGATAGAATGTCTATGGCGTTGTTCGCGGGTAACATCTTTTAGGAGGAATTCGGCGGAAGCTTGTCTTTTCTGTTCGACACGTCGGCTCGCAAGGTGTTCCTAATTTCTACATCTTCTGCGGTGATTTGCCCCATTAGGGGCATGGTCCCCCAATGCCTTCTTTTATAAGGAAAACCAGGAATAGCCAGATGCCGTAATTATGGGTCTCCGAACCCTGTACCAGATGTAAAACCCGTGTCACCGGACCGCTTGGTGAGTTGACCTCTGGATTCTTTCGTTCGCAAGATGTTTCGTCATTTATTTCAATGTACTGTAACAATCTGTATTGTTGCAGGGTTTTTATTTTTTATTTTTGGTACTTGTAATTTCAAATCTCGTCATTAACTGAATGGCTGAGACAAATGCTCCGTAACTTTTGTTCGGCTGTGCCCGACCACGTGTCATGAGCTCCACGGGTGGTCGGTATCTACATATAACTGCGTTACTCTTGTGGAAACTACGCTGTCTTCGCAGCGGGTCTGGTATGTAATATAAAAGTGCATCCGGTAAACTCCAGGCCAGTAACGTATAAGTGAAGTGTCCGTGTGTCACTTATGTACTTTCAAAACTTCTTAGTGCAGTGTATTAGCTCTAAGTATACCTAAAGTTAACCTTTTATACGTAACTGATAAGAGCAGTAAGCATATCTGTACACTCCTAATGTAAACTCGGGGAAGTGGAATACTAGTTCTCCATACTGTACCCTTACACTTAAACGTAACATAGGTAACATGTAATAACAATAAATTTAAAATAAAGCATCTGGTTATTTCTACTTGAAACTTGTTTTCGTTGTGTGTAAGGCGCCCTTCCTTCTCCTCGCTAATAAATTTTACACGCAGTACCAGAATTCAAGCACAAACCAGTCTCATGCTCACTCAAACCGACAGGAGCTGACCATTACAATATCAATTAAATAACCTATCGGGAATATGAAATTCGGTGGCATTATCCAGCACATTTAAATCGAAACCGACTTCGACGAAACGTTGACAAACGGCAAATTCGACTCAATTGAAGTTCCGATTCTAGATTGAAGAGGGTCCACCCAATTCACATACCCAAAGTGCTTAACCACTCACCCAGCGCGGTCATCAAATACTTGTCTTTTACGAAAACATTGGCATCAAAACCACTATAAAACCATTTGTACCAACCTCGAAGGTTCAAGCCGATCTCAGTTGCCATTTGACCTATTTCATGTCACGGTGTCAGCGTGGCTATGTCGGGACAGAAAGGGTAATTATGAAACTCCGAATATGCGGAGAGATTATTTACATGCTTTTGTTCGATGACAAATAATGAAACTATGCATTAATGTTTAACGCAGTTTGCTCTTACAGTACATGCCAATGTATCGTCAATTCTGACATTATCACGAACATGTGGAAAGAATGCTATATAAATATGAATTTTATTATTCAAATGCAGTCTTTTAAAATGATTTTGCTATCAAGATCATTTTCAGTTTCTTGTAATTGTTATACCGTAATCCACCATGCTGCCCTTATGCAAGAAATAACTCGCCCCGAAGTTTTTTCTCACCAAATTTGATAAATGTTACAGTATCCAATCTCATTTTCTTTCAAGCACTTCCATAATATTAAACTTTGTTATGACTAATAATAACTCGTTTCGAAGACCTTCCCGGTCACAAGGTCAGGAAAAGAATACTCCTTGCCCCTTCCTACCCACCTCACCTCTGCTCCTCCAGGTCAGACCAGCTATTAGCAATAAAGCAGCGAGAAAACTGGGCCAATGCGAAATATCGTTTGCCCGGATTAACAAGGGAATGTATGATGTTGCATACATTGCTTTATTTTGTTTGGGATTCAGTTTCATATGGCTTTGCTTGCTGTCCACAGATTTTAATTAGTGAAATGAATTTTTGCAGTCCCTTGTTGGGCGCTGCCTATTTTTTATTTTGATTTGTACAGAGTTTGTAGGCTGCAGTAGGTTGAAGTCTAGTAGTCTCATATGTAGTCGTTTACATATCAAAAGTAAATTCGATTTATAATCGTTCGTTTGAAAACTAGAGAGAGTCTATTAACACAATATACGTGCACTTGGCCCCACTTTGGGCGCCAAAGTTATCGGTACATTTATTCATGTCATAATGATATATCGTCCGTTTTTTGTCTCAATCTTCAACAGTACTAAATGAAGTGAAAACCCCCCAAAGAAAATTTACCCGCAATAAAGCGATAAGAAGAATAAAACATTAAATTACTCGAAAAAAATTACGCAACAAAGAAAACAGATACGCAATAAAGATACACGAAAACATTATAGGAGGAGCAGTAGAGAAAAGCATCTTTATAATGGCATCATAATACCTAAACAATAGAGGTTAATGTTGTGTGCGCTTTGTTCCGAGAACATCGATCCTATTGTTCCCAGGACCAAAATAACCGAGAAAAGGTCGCGGGATTTTACCAGCTTTGGGTGATGCAAAATTTTAACGCGAATTTGTGTATTGAAGTTAGTTTTGGTTACGAAGTTATTGTAATTTACTCTTAAGGGTCGGCACTACAACATCTAGCAGAATGTACGAAATGATTTTGCGACCCATAAATCTATTAGACTTGAGTGCTTTGGGCGTTGTATGAAAATTCGAAGATTCCGGGTTTGATACCTTTTAAAATCAATTTAGAAAATGAAAATTTAATACTAACTTTGACGCTCATAATATAAAAATGTCAAGTTTTGTGATCTGTCTTTTGTTTACTTATTTATCGAAGCGAGTTCTAAAGATCACTCTCTCTATAA